GATACACAGCATTGAGTGAACTTATGAAAGAGAACGTCTTGGGTTACTCACATACTTGGGTTACTTATTGGGAACGAAACGCTGCGTTCACTGCCAAGCTCCTCGCGCTGCCAACAATACTTCTTCGGCAGGTAATCTGAGGAGCGGGTGGCGCGGTCGCTAGTATTAGAGTGGGTGACGTAGTGACATCGAGATGGCGCCCGCGCCATCAGCCAATGAATTGGCATGATTCTATACTGGCTTCAGTCAATCGGCACACCCAAGCAGCATTCCCCATTGAGTCATAGCTACAGCGTCTCGTTCCCTATTCAGAGAACATGGGTTATGCGACCCGAGACATTAACGTTCCTAGTAAGTTATTAAAAAATGTAATTCTAAATGTTCTCTGAACTTTAAAAAAGTCCAAACTTTTAAACTTTAAACTTTTCTTTTGAACCTCGCCTGCCAATGTCAAGTTCAGCGTCATCAGGCTTCCTCTCGCTACAGAGAGTTATCTTTATTGAAGCCTCCGCTCGCCAGAGCTCCGCTAGGACAGTGGCTGTGAGTTGTAGGCTCTCTGTGAGCCTCCTTACAAGATGTCCTGAGCGTGGGGCGTAGTTAGACCTCCACTCATTTTAGAGGGTTGTCATGCTGAGGCCTCCGCTCCTAGAGCTCAGCCATCTACTGCGAGCGTCATCAGGCCTCCTCTCGCTACAGAGTTATCTTCAATGAGGCCTCCACCCCCCAGAGCTCTGCTAGGACAGCATCTGTGAGTAGTAGGCTCTCTGTGAGCCTCCTTACAAGACATCCTGAGCATGGGGCTTAGTTAGAGTATCGTCATGCTGAAACGCGTTTCGTGCCTTCTCTAAAATCCATGTTTATGGTAAGGGCATGTTCTGGGTGCTTCGTGACCTTTCTATCTGTGTTAGACCCCAGTTTGCTCTTAAACAGAGAAGGTTTGCCAAGTTGACTAGTCTCTCTGTGAGCCTCCTTAGATACTGCGAGCGTTGTAAGGCCTCCTGTTGTTGAAGCCTCCACTCAAAGAGTAATGGTGAGTAGTAGGCTCCTTGTTAACCTCATCACAAGATATCCTGAGCGTGGGGCATTGTTAGCTTTTCTCCCAATTTGGAGAGTCATTCATACTGAGGCTTCCGTTCCTAGAGCTCGGCTAGGTGGTAGGGTAGTATGCTAAGTTGTTATACTCTCTGGCAGCCTCCTTGGCTACTGACCTTAGTGTGGAGTGTTGATAGGCCACGTCTCATTTAAGAGGTGGTATATTTAGGCCTCCACTCTGCAGAGCTTTGCGGGCCAGTTAGCTCTGAGTGTTAGGCTCTCTGTGAGCCTCCTTGTATAAGTATGTAGTTAGGCTTCTTCTCTCTTGTTAAGGCCTCCATGCTTTAGAGGCTCTGGTCTATGATCGCGTTGCTGATGCAAGGGTGAGGACTCCTTTGAGTCTTCGACTTAGCTCAGCCAATAAGGCACTCATCCCTTCAGCATGGCGGCATGGTTATACTGTTCCCCATAGTGCCCTCTAGGGGACGCAGCGCGTGTTCACTTTTCGAAAGGGAACGTTTCAGGTTACGCATGTAACCATATTTCCCTGAGAACAGGGAACAAGACGCTGTGTCCCTTTGCCATGCTTTAGGTATTCCTGCGTACGTCTCCAAGAAGTGGATAACGTATTTCACAGGTGCTCTTTTATATTCTCAGCCACAGCAGTTGTGACGTCATAGGCTGCTGCCTGCCAATGTCAAATTCATTGTCGTGTTTAGACTCATGCATGAGACACCGGTCATTTATTATCAGAAATGTCAAGTTGAGAAATCACTTGAACATTTGTGAAAGAAAAACTTTACAACCCCTTTGACCTTAGCAAGCTCTGTTAACCCCACAATAACATCTGGGTAATATTGATCTATAGTTCCTTATTTACTGCCTTTGTTACACTGAGTGTGAAGGGGAGACGACCGGCAAGGAACAAACAGAAAAGCACAAATCATGACCTCCTGTTAAACGGCACTGCAAGTGATATTGAGCAACCATTACTGAAGTTGGTATGAGGATTTCAATATCAATATTGAGCAGTCATTGTTGAGCTGTACATGGCGATATTTGGAGGCTGTCACCGGTTGATAAGTGGAGTGCTTTGATTCCTGTCATTAACTTAAGAGATAATAAATGGTGCAGTGGGCTATTGGCATTGATCCTTGCGGGACAATCTGAAGGAATTATTTCCTGTTGTTTGACTCTCACAAAACAAATTAATTGATTTAGGTGGTGACACCATTAATGAGAACTTCCATTTGTTTTTTCTCTATCGGTCAAAATTCTGGAATACTTACGATTTGTTATTGTTTAAAATAAGTCTCTTCTGCTCACCAAAGCTGCATTTAGTTGATCAAGAATACTGTAAATATAGTAACATTGTAAAATAGTATTACAATTTAAAAGAACTATTTTCTATTTCAAAACATTTTAAAATGTACTTTGTTAGTATTTCTCTGTAAATCATGATATGCTATCATTCAAAAGTTTGTGGTGAGAAAATGTATAGTTTTATTCAGCAATGATGCATTAAATTGCTCAAAAGTAACAGTACAGTACATATATTTATAATGTTACAAAAATTCTGAAAGAAGAATGTTGACGGTTTCCAGAAAAATATTCAGCAACAAAACCAGTTTTCAACATTACACTGAAGACTGGAGTAATGATTCTGAAAATTCAGCTTTGCATCACAGGAATAAATTACAGTTTAAAATATATTAAATAGAAAACAGTTATTTTAAATTGTAATAATGTTTCACAATATTACTGGGTTTACTGTATTTTTTATCAAATAAATGCAGCATATAAGAGCCTTCAAAAACATAAAAAAAAAAAAAAACGTAATTATTCCAAACTTGTTTTTATCTGTTGTATTAAACACAAACACGTTTCCTGATGTAAATGCAAGAAATTATGGTCTGGATTCATTAAGTTAAGTTTCCAAAGACATGTACATTTCATTATGAAGGGAAAACAAACAAACAAATAAACAAACAAACTAATAATAATAATAATAATAATAAATAAAAAAATAGGTTTGGGACTGTTGGAATCAGCAAGAAACAGCATTTTACTGGCCACTGTCTTGTATCTAATGAATTATTCAAGCATGAGTATGTTTCCTGATGTGAGTCCATTTTCTAGATTGTTGCTGGGACATCCTGAGCTGCAGCGCTCACACTGTGAGCAGTGTTCCCCTGCATGCCCTTTCCTGTAATGTGCTGCTGGGTAGAGTGAATGAATGCTGAAAAAGCAGCTTGAAACTCTTTGACTGTGTGCAATGGTTTCTGATTCATGATGTCATAAAGGGCCACTTCAGGCAATTACACATGCATTAGCCCACGCAGCACAGGAAAGAGCCATCCGCTCGCTCTCAGGGCTCCGCTTACCGCAGCCTCTCTCCTGCAATTGCCGGAAATTAACTTTGTTTTAACAGGCGTCAAATCCATTTGGAAAACAATTGATCAACTTCACCCTCTTGCCACTAACAGCTGGACTAGCTGAAGTCATTTGCAGTCAACATTAACAGCAAGTCTACTGTAATATCTAGAGCATGGGTCTCAAATTACAGTCTGCGGGCCATATTCTGCACCTGAATTTGATAGTTTATCTTAAAAAAAAAAAAGTATGTTTTTAATGCACAGCAACTTCGCCAGCCAGTTTATTTATCCTGCACTTAAGTGCATGTTAACTGCTATTAAATGGAAATGTATTATAGTATACATTTATAATTAATGCAGATATCTGGACTTTAGAGTGCTTTTTTGACTTAAGTAGGATTTAAGTCCATCTTTATATGCAGTTACTTATATTGTCTTTAAAATATGGTAAGTGTCCAAACAGCTGATAAAACAACTCCAGTTCATCAGTCTTGTGAAGCGTGTTTGTAATAAACAAATCCATCAAGACGTTTTTAACTTCAAACTGTTGAAAAATACAAGTCCTCACCCTTATTATTTTCTCCAGTGAAAAAGTTGTCTCGTCTGAATCAGGAGAGAAATATGCGCAGATTAAGCACCATTTACAGTTGAAAACAGTTCTAAACTAATGTGTCGGTAGAGTTTGATGTGAAAGCATAATAGGAGATGAAGTTTTTCACTAGAGGAAGTGTTATTATGGAATATGATAACTGATATTTTGGCCTGATGTGTGGTTTAAAGTTAAAACACCTTAATGATGAACTTGTTTCTTATAAACACGCAGCTTTGCGCTTCACAAGATGTTAATTGATGGACTGGAGTGGTGTGGATTACTTGTGGATTATTGTGATGTTTTTTAATCAGTTGTTTGGACTCTCATTCTGACGGCACCCATTCACTGCAGATGATCCATTGGTGAGCAAATGAGGTAATGTTCATTTCTCCAAATCTATACTCATCTATATTTTAGATGGCCTGATGTCTTTGGGTGAAGTATTCCTTTAATTTAATTTTATTGAATTTGAATGTCATATATTTAAATATATTTGTAATCACACATTTATAAAGATGAAGTTGCAAATTAGTGCATTTTCTATCAGCACTGCCGTGTATTAGACCTCTTAACTATGAGTCACCAGTGAATCCTACAACAAACTCAAAGATTCAGTGAAAAGCACAAAGTAACGTGTGACTCACCTCCTCTTGTCAAATAAAAAGCACAAGAACTTTGACAAACTATAGAAACAGGGAGAATTTATTTAAAGCACTTTGTCCCCTACGTAGAAAAATATGATTGATTTAAGTCAACAATAATAAATAGAGTACCTGTATTCTTGCAGGCCTCGCTGATGCGTACAGTAGTACAATCAATATCCAGTTTTCGCAACACAGCAAAGGCACGGGTATTTACCGTAAATCTGCAGTCTGATGGAGCGGAAGGGCATGGGTGGCATATGAGGGGTCAACTCAATATGACCTGGAGGAGCGTATCTTTATAAAGACGGGACACATTGGGAATTACATTATATATATATATATATATATATATATATATTTTTTTTTTTACAAATACATCTTTGAGTGACTGATGTTGAATTGGACATTGGATACTTATTTCAGGGCTGACCAGAAAGTGACATTTTACACGATAAATATTGTTTTCAACAACAGGAAGTGTTTTATACCGGACAACAAAATATTCAGTCTGTGAGAAACTTCTGCAATGGATGGCTCCTGTTTTTAATGGTCCCTCGAGTGGATCTCAATGCAAATGTACATTTAATCATGTTTTTTGTTTGTTTTTTTGTAACAGTATGTAGTGCAATTTTTTTAAGTGAAAAAAGTGATTTGAGTTTAGGGCAGGAAAGCATCCTGGTATAAGCTATGATGTTGTATGTTTAAGCACGTCATATTAATATGTGCCATTTGTGACAATTATAAATGCAGCAGTTACACACACTGATCATTTCTCACCTAAACCTTCATCCGGGACTCCCGAAACTGCACAAAATACTCCCTCGCACCCCTATCAACCATTCAACCTTCTTTCGCTACAAGCAAATCAGTGTTTCTAAATTAAAAAATAATGTGATTTTCGATTTTATATTGTAAAACATACATAGGCTGTAGGTCGTTGTTCATAAATTGTTTTGTATTCATTAAAAACAAAGAAAAATATTTTTTAATGTTTTAAATATCAGTGAAATTATAAGGCTTTAAAGTCCCTCGTCTTGATGGCCTCCCCACACTTCAGTCCAGCAGAAGAGTCTTTGGAAAGCTCATTAATTTCTCGTCCTTTTGATACTCCATCGAATGCTCTCAGCCAGGTTCAAAGCTGTGTTGTGCCATGGACCGCTAGCCGTAGATCTTTAGTGAAGAAAAAGCCCTGATTGTCAAAAAAGGTCTTTATCATGACCATTCGTTTTAGGCTATAAAGCAAGTAGGTCATCACAAACATACATCAACCATTTACGCTTTTAAGCAGTTCAAGCATGTTTGGTCGAGTTTTCACCACCAGTCTGATGGGTGTGTTGCTGATGTCATTGGTTTTCACAGTTCTCTGCTGTATGACTTATCAAAAAGAAGAATTAAAGCTCTGATTTCATAGTCTTCAGCAGAGACGTGGGCTTCAGCTTCGTTCCTCTAGACACCGTGACATGTAGCAGAGCAGCATGTTGGCTGTTGAGCCTCAAATGACTAGACCGAGCCATTCTCCTGTGTGCTAAAGTACATTTGAAACAGTGTTTAGATGTTCCTCTGTGCTGTGAGGTACTTGAGAGCAGCAGAACCGTACTTTCGAGAAAGGTCTTGGTGGAACTCGTCCTTCAGAGTCGTCAAGCAGTAGCGGTAACTCGGACTGGAGCGAAACTTTGAGATGTCAAAGCTGGGCGCGTGGGGCATGTGGATCATGAAGGCATTTGGTAACACTATAAAATCGTACTCCTTTGGAACAAGGAAATGTGACAGGTTAGGGACACCTATACACTTGAACTGGAAGTAGAAACAGGCCAAACGTCTTTTAAAACCTTACCTGAGCATCAAGCTCCATGATATGGGATACTTTGTTCCAGCCAAAGCCAACAAATCTGTGGTCATACTCAGGACAGTCTCGTCGCACCACAACATATGGCTCAAAATCTGCCTCCCACTCCACCTTGTATGGTGTTGTGGCTGTTCTCCATTTGGCATAATTGGTTGGCGCGTGACCCTTTGTCCAGACGTGATACCTGCGATTTAGGAGAGCAGTGAATGAATATACTTGAACTTTCTGAGTGGACTTTTAATAATGGGCCAAAGACACGATGCTTATGTTCTGATTGAATATATTAATCATTCAAAAATATATCAAAAATCTTCTTTAAACATCATTTTATATAAAAGGGATTCCAAAACTTTGTTTTTGTCAGATGAACCCCTGGAAGTACCCACTTTTAAGTCAATATTGAGACATTTACATTTTCATGGTTCTCTAATGCTGGCTAATGGGCACACAACATGCAAGTAAACAACGGCAAAAAAAAGAAAAAAAAAACTTTTTAAAAAGAAAAGTGTATTTATTTACATAAATTTTACATTTTTATGATTTAATTACTTAAGCTTTTTATCAACTCGGGAAACCTTGCTCTATAATGAGAATGTTTTTTTATTTATTTCTGAATTAAAAATAATTTATATTTTTGGAGCAAAAACTAGAAAAAGGAAAGGTGATACAGCTGTCTTGATATCATAATGAAGAAAAAAAACATGTATTATTATTTATTATTATTAAAAAAAAAAACTGCTACACTGATTATTGGTGTTTGATATGTGTGCACCAAATCAAAGTCATGTGGTTCAACATGCATAAAAATGCTTAAATGAAAACATAACAGGAAACACAGTAATAGAAAAGAGGACCCCTCTCAAAGTCAACACGTCTCTTAAAATATCAGATAAGTTGACTTTTTTATGACAAAAAAAAAGGCTAGACCACTTTTTAAAATGGCATCTGGAGTGACTCCCCAAAAACTAAATTATATTTATGAATCTTTTTTTTTTTAATTTTAAGATGTGTACACTCATATATGTTCAATGTGTAAAAAAGGTTATTATGCTTTGCATTTAGATTACATGGGGAAAAGATAATTAATTGAAACATTTCTTGAAAATAAAAGTTTTTCAAAACATGACATATTTTGAACAAGAAACTGACATGAATACACATTGGTAAAAATGTGGCACATGTGAATTTTTACTAGAATTTCCCTTTTCTTTACTGGGGACAATCTTATTTGTCTCGAACCTATAACAAAAGTGTCCCTCACGGGTCAAAATGACCAGAAGGCTAAAAATCACACTATTTTTTCTATTTTCACTATTTTATTTTTGGTCTAGAAATCTTATATTGATCCATTTTTATAATTTTTTTTCTAAATATTTATTTATTGTTTGGTGATTTTTATATTTACCTTTTTTTTCTGGATATATTTAAGAAAATATAAGCAAATAAGCAGTTTTTGTACATTATTTCACCAAAAAAATAAAAATAAAATAAAATAAAAATAAATAAATAAAGACAATTTCAGTCCTGGTTCATCAAAAACCAACAGATGGCCTTGGAATTGAGTCACTGTGTGTCTCTGATGCTATCTGGTGGGGAACAATGACATAAAATAGCATTTTATGGTTACAGCCACTAGAGGGGCCTATAGTATCCTATGGAGATTTTTAACTGAGCAAAACAAGTGAAACATGAGAAATTAGATCATTTTGAGGCTTCAATTTGGTTGTTTATGGATTCAAATATATATTGAAATATTACAAAATCCATATTTTGTAAAAACAAAAAACAAAAATTCTAACTGAATTATAACCTAAACATATGTATATTCATACAATTTCATAAATATATAATATATATTTTTTAAATATAAATATGATATAAACTCATTGGTATATACTCATTGGATATTAAACTCATAAACTCATCAACTCCACCACATCACTCAAATGTAACTGTGTTAAGTAAAAAAAAAAAGGGAAAAATGACAGTCATATCCTAGCAGAAACATGAAACATATTATAATGTGTTCTATGGGAGTGTGTGTACCATGTGTGTGTTTGTGAGTTTTTTCTGCATTGGGGATATTCTGTAGTCTCAGCCCTTCGTTTGGGTATAAATCTTTACTGGATTGTCTCAGATTTTGTATATAAAAAAAAATCAAATGTAATAAAAAAATGCAGTTTTCTCATAAATTCCATTCATTCCTATGTGGGTCAAAATGACCCGTGAGGGACACTTTTGTTACTTTTTTTATTGCACCCATTTAAACTCCTTGAATCCACTCAATTTTGTGTGTGTGTGTGTATTCCCGGTGCAAGTATGACAAAAGTAAAGAAATCTTGGACTGGTACGATCAACACACGATTTTTAGAATTTATTTGATAATCATTTTCGGGTCAAAATGACCCGAGGGACGGATGAAGGCTAAACACACTGGAGATTGATTATGAGATGATTATTTTGAATGTCTACTGTACCTGAAGGTGTAGAGAGTCCCCATGTCCAGCATAGACAGCAGCTCGGCCTTGGATTTGGGGAAGGAGAGGCGATATCTCAGTGTCTCAAAGGCGGGCACAACCAGAGCCTTCTTGGTACTGGCCATGTCCAGTTGGACTATACTTTTTCTACATGAAATAGTAAAAAAAAAACACACACACACACAGATATATTACAGAAATGGAACCGTTACATTAACAGATAATTCCTAACAAATTCACTGCTTACCTGAGGTAATCGTAGAGGCCGTACATGGGCAGAAAATCGACATCAGTCAGAAAAACGTAGGGTGTGTTGACGTTGCGGAGCGCCACATTGCGTACCAGATTGACAGGGTAGAACTGACCCTCCTTATAAACAATATGATAGCCTACATTCTTGCGGTTCTTGAGGACTTCAGAGGCCTGAGCGTAACGCAGGAACTGTTGAGCCTCGGCATCAGACATGTATAGGGCCAAACTGATGGGGCCCTCCCAGTGTTTACAGATGGCCTCCAGCATCTGCAGTCTAGACAAATACAAAGTGTCTCCAGTGAAATTTTGGGCAGTAACTGAAGTGAGGCAAGATTATGGGCTCTTTTTGATACATTTTTTTTAAACCTGCAGGGCAAGCTTTCAGTAGCTAGTATGGTATGTTCTGATCTTCACTACGTCAAGCGCTTCTAGTTGATACTTGTTTCAAACACAAACAAAGCTGCTATCCTGCATAACAATCACCTTTCTAAAAATGCCAAGACTACTTCATTGTAAAACAGAGGCTTCAGTGATATCAAAAAGAAAAAAAAAACTTGTTTTAAATAGATCAGTGGAAAGACTCTAAATGGAAGATAAAACATTATTATTTTCTTGCTGAAAAGTTTATTATTTTCCTACTCTTATTAATCTTACAGAAAAAAAAAAGAAAGCAGGGCCTTCAGTCAAATGCATTTCTAAGTGAATTAAATTAATGGCAAGCCACTTAATTAATTGAATTAATCACAAAAAGCTAAATGTGCTATAATGAATTATTATTTATATAATTTATTTCACAACAATCCCATGTCAAGCATTCTGTTTGCAATATATATATATATATTTTTTAAACTAATCATGTTAAATTAGTAACCCTAAAATAAAGTACATCTGAAAATAACATGAGGGTTCAACATGTTTTAAAGCAGTATTTTAATACTATTATAGTTTTTATTCATATTTAAAATTTAATGCAAATAGAATAATTATTAAGAATTTTAAATTTTAAGAATTTATTTATTAAGAATTTCAATTTTATTTTTATACTTTCATTTTTTTATTTAAATGTTTCTTATTTTATAGTATTTTTCTTATTAGTATTTGTTTGTTAAATAATGCTATTCAGTTTTATTTTAATATTTTTATATACTAAGTTTTTATTAATATTTTAATTTAGCTTTTATTTGTATACATTTCTTTTTTATTTATCTGATTTTTTATATGTTTTTGTTTAAATATTATTATTCAGGTTTATTTTTTAATTTATATAATTATTATTATTAATTTTTTTTTTATTATGATTTATTTTATTTCCAGTTAGTCATTTTAGTGCTTCCGCTCAAACTAAAAATCAGAAATGTTGCATTGGCTACTCACTGAAAAAAAAATCATCTAATATTTATATTTTATTTCATTTCAGCTTCTTTTCAAATAACAAAAACGTTTAACAGTTTTAGTTAACAATAATCACCCTGTTTTGAAAATGTTATTAACTCGCAATGCTTGTAGTAATCTATTCTCATTTCAATCAGAGTGCTGCAGAGGGTTCATTAAACACAACATCATATTTGACAGTTTTGTAATTAAATTGCCTTGGCATGAGCATGAGTGGCCCAAACGTGACTGTAGATTCATTTGGACAGTCTGTCTTCCTCACCTGTCCATGGAGAGCTGTGCGACCAGCGTGATGTCTGTGCCATCATCTGTAGGTGTGTATTCATATTGCAGGAAGTACAGATGCACCCTGTGCACCATGATTCGCTCCCTCCGAAAATCATAGCACTGGTCGTCCTCATCTAACTCCTCTAGTGCGTGCTGAAGCTGGAAACAATGAATAATATGTTTTATCAGCTATGCTGAGCAAGACACATCAAACAGTCACTGGTCGAGTTGCCCTTTTTCCTTGTACAAATCCAAGGCTGAGCTGCTTTTAGACCTGGGTATTTATTACTTATTTAGAATTATCCAGTTTAAGAATATAAAGTCCCTCTAATACAGTCTCTGTCTCTCTTAAGTCTTCTTGTTCTCTTAAGATATAAGAATTGTGGTCTGCTGTTTCAGGGTGCTGGAAGCCACACCCCATCTTTCTAAAACTCCGCCCACCATAGATATATACACACATGCACACAGAGAGCAGCGACGCAGGTAGGGAAAATAAAATGAAGAGCCATTTGATTATCAGTAAACCTGAACAGTGAGTTAGTTGTCAAAAGGACGGTAACAAAATAGCTTTCTCGCATGACCGTGCAAAATGATTGACAGGAAGAAAGTACATCAAAGTCTTTAGACTGGATAAACAAAGAATCTGACATGTGACATCAATTTTTATTTATTTATTTATTTATTTATGTGCTGTTTACTATGGAAGCCTATGCAGCGGGGAAAAAAAAGGTAATTGCGACTTTTTATCTCACAATTCTGAGGTGCTCGAGATGAAATATTTTTCTTAGAATTGCAAGATATAAACTCAAAACTGCGAGATATTAGCCTAAATCAGAATTCTCACTTTTTCTTGTAATTCTTGTAAGTTTACATTTCACAATTCTGACTTTTTTTACTCACAATTCTGAATATCTTGCAAATCTGTTTATTTATTGATTATCTCATAATTTTGATTTATTTTATTTATTAATTTTTTTGCAATTACACTTTTATATCTCACAATTCTGATTTTTCTTCAACATTTCACAATTCGGTGTTTATGTCTTGAAAGTAGTTTATATGTGGCAATCTAATTATTTTTATTAATTAAAAATGACTTATTAGAAATGTATTCTTTATTTTTTAATCTTAGGCAGAAACAGGCTTCTGTAGCCCAGGACTGTCAGATATACAGTCCATTTACAAGATGTATTTTATTGTGTATTTTTTAAGTATTTAAGCATTTTTTTGTCAATACATATATAGTGACATTATATGCATGCTACTCCAAAAATAAGATATTTGCATAAAACTGCATAATCTACTAAACTAACTCACCAATTCACAGTGTGACATAAACAGTGTGCTGCACTCCGAAGTGATCATGCCTGCGTGCTCTTTCCTGTGAAAGCTGCACAGGCTCATATTAGGTCAAAAAACAATGAATGTACCAAAATTTGATATCTTTATATTTTATTTTTACACCATGAATAACTCAACAAGCAAACCAACAAAAAATGCTTTAGAACTTTATGAACACATTTTAAATAAGCTTTATATTATTTAATTGTGTTTTTAATTTAATGAGTAATTAATTTGTTTAATATATTACAATATATGCACTACCGGACAAAAGTTTGGATAATTTAGATTTGTTTTATGTTTTTGAAAGAAGTCTCTTATGCTCACCAATACTGCATTTATCAGTTTATCGGAAATACAGTCAAAAAAGTAATATTGTGAAATATTAGCACAATTTTTGGCGCTCAAGAAACATTTCTTATTATGAATGTTGAAAACAGTTGTGCTGGTTCATTTTTTTGTAGAAAAAAAAGGGGGGATTTTAAAAATATTTAAAATCTTTTAAATATTTTTCCACAAACAAGCCCCATTAGACTGAAGCAAGCAGCCCAGCAAAAATGTGGAGAACCTCGCAAGCAAAGCAGTAAAAAAAAAAAAAAAAAAAAAAAAAAAGTTAACCAGCAAAAACGGTTCTCAAAATTGCTAATAATAAGAAGCAGTATTTAAAATTGAGCATCAATAATAACTGATACTGAAATAATTGAGCAGGAAAGGGTTATATGACACTGAAGACTGGAGTATTGATGCTGAAAATTCATCTTTACCATCACAGGAATAAATTACATTTAAAAAAATATTCAAATAGAAAACAGCTATTTTAAATTGTAATTTCACTATATTGGTGAGTATATATAAGAGACTTTTTTCAAAAACACTAAGAATTCTTTTTTATTCCATACTTTTGACACAACATATATATGTGTGTGTGTTTTCAGTGTGTGTTCAGTTATTAAAACTGTACTTTTCTTATTAGAATCATATTGTAACATGTCAATGCAAGGAAGAGTCAAGGTAGGATCCAAATGCAATCAGTGGAACATTTAATAAAACAAAAGGTAATCCAAATCCAGAAACATAGAACCAAACACAGAGAGAACCAGGAAACAGAAACAACATGCCACAACTTCGCAAAGACAACGACTGACTCAGACTGACTAAAACACAGAACTATTATACACAGAGACACTAACAAGATGACAAGGTAACAAGACACACCTGGGAAAGTAATCAAGAGGACCAATGAAACAAAAGAACTACAAAATGACTACAAAAGGCACCCTAGACAGGAAGTAACACAAAAGTCCAAACACAAGACAGGGGAACATGAGTCAGATCATGACACATATATCCCCAAGAATGCCCACTAATAACCATTTACAAAAACTGCTGTTTGGAACACAGTGTTGGTTGATAAGCAGAGTTGAAATAGAAGCTGCAAGCCCTCACCTGTGTTAAAGCCCCTCCCGAGGGCTGGCCAGGGTTTGTGATTTTTCCACAGATTACCGAGGTACCAATCGCTCTGATTCTCTACCAGACCAATCACCCGTTTCTCTGCAATCACAACGTCAGTGTCAAATTTCACTGTCCAGATGCTTTATATGACTCCTGAAGGAAAGCGAGCGATTACCTGTGAACTTCCGGAAGATGGCCCACAGCTCAGCGATGTCAGTGGCGAAGGTGATGTCTGTATCGAGGACGATGACCTTTGAAAGGTTGGATGGCAGAGCTTTGGTGAGTGTGAGCTTCATCAGGCCATAAATTCCTGAATAGTGTTTGTTTGGTATCCATGACACCTCCGACTATGAGGATGAGAGAAAGAAACAGAGAAATCTGTGAGAAACTAGCAAAAGAGCACAACAGTGACTTTATCAGTCTTGGTTCTAGAAGTATTTTTCTCATTCATTTTTCTACGCAAAAAAATCTTCTTTTTTTTCTGCCTAGAGAACTCATTCTTTATTCTTTAATATAGACTTCAATAAAAAATCATCCAGCTCTATAAATTACAACATTATAATCTTAGAAAAGTATTTGATATTTTAACACTGGAAAATCAACATGGCAAAAGAGATTCAAATCAGCAACAATGCTTACATATTTATATATACACTTTTAAACAGTATTTACATTTGTGTATTTCTGACTACAAATTTATTGCATTTTAAACTTATTATCAATTAGAGAGAGAGAGAGAAGGCAAGGCAAGTTTATTTATATAGCACATTCCATACACAATGGTAATTCAAAGTGCTTTACATAAAAGAAATGAAAAAATTATTTAAAAAAAAACAATCGAGAGAGAGAGAGAGATTATGTGTAAAGCACACTTCTAATTCATTTCAAATTGAGAAATTCAAATTCCAAAACTTAAATGTGAAATTTCAAATTAAACATTTTACATTTTTTGAATTCTGAATATTTAATTTCATCGTCTCTCTTGGTTCCGAAATAAAGTCCGTGTAAAGTATTCTCCAGCGTCTCCTCGTCCTTCGTGTGTGTGCACCCGTGACACTACCAGAGATGCTCATTGTGCTCTTCATGTTTGCTTCTGAACTGTATTCCGCAGTTATAGCATCATCTGCACCCATGGAAATAACCCCCTACAGTTCTTATTGTACGCTTCATCTTTTCAGCATACATCCTTAATGACCTGAGCTCAGGTTTAATAATAATCTGCTGGAGAGGGGTTGATTGAAAAAGACTGGATTTCCTGCAGCTTAGCTTTCATATACTCAGGAGAGCAAAGAGGTCTCTATGCACAGCGGAGACACAGGATGTAAAATCCGCATGATTAGAGACGGCTCCAAGCCAAACAGCTGACAATCGGAGGTGAACTAAGTGCGGGAGGGGGACGGGAGCACAAAACAGGACAAGAAATAATGTATTTGTGTTATTGTGCATGTGAGAGCGTGCATGCATTCATGTGAGTGTCCTTGAGTGTGCAGTGTGATGTAAACAAGAATGAGCTCTCTTAGAATATGTGTGCGTGTGTGTGCGTAGAGGAGGCATGCCCTTTGATTGTCACTTCGATCTTTCAGTGTACCGTGCAATGCATAACAAAAATTCACAACAGACAGTGAATAATTCAACGCCACAGCAAAGGCTACACTCACATGCCATGTTGTAAAAAAGAGGCGCACTGTCACTTTAAATATATGAACAGAAATGAATAATTCTGTGTTTTCTCACACCCTCTGGAGCGTGCAAGAGTTCTTCGCGAGCGAAAGCTCTTGAGCTCGCTGCAGTGTAAACAAGCTCAATGTTTCCACTATCACAGACAAGCCATACTGTCCCAAGGGGACCTTTGCCCCTTCATTACAATCCATAAGCGCATGTGGCACGTCTTTCATTTCAGTTGTTTGTGCCTGAATGAGCTCAGACAGGATTGTTATCGGCATCATTCTTCAGACTTGTCATTGCCGCCTGCATCATTTCAAAACTATCACTGCTTATGACCTCCCATTAAACCTCTATAATGGTGCTCTGTGACATGGTCATTATCTCTGGGTCAAAGGGCAAGTGTAGAGTCATGGGAGAATGGTGAGGCAGGTGCTTACTTTGAGTTCATCAGCGTCATAGAAGCTGACTTGTACGGACGGCACCATCCACGACTGGAACAGAGTGCTGAGGATCTGATTGGCCACTGTATCTGTGATGAAATGAAAGTGTAGTGGGTTTCTCCTGAAAAGAGAGATGTGGACATGTTGACATGTTAGGTTTTATATGAATGCATCAAGCAAATTCACTATTTTTTATGACTATTTTGGCTAATTTCATGATTTAATTTGGAATGATCATTTGGTGCGACAACTAAGGTGACAATATGTGATGCTAAGGTGGCAATACGCTAATTTGAAAATTCGCATTTTTTAAATTTTCCATTTTTTATATTTTAAATGTAAACTGTTGAATTTGAAAATTAGCATTTTTTTAATTTTGGAATATGAAATCTGGCATTTGAAATTTCAAGTTTGGAATTTCAAATTCCAAATTCCAAAAATTAAATGTCAAATTTCAAATTCAAATTCAACTTT